ACCCTCCCACCCCCGCCCCCGCGCCCGGCGACGCCCTCTCAACTGGGTCACACGCACCGCGCGGGATTTCGTCCCCGGGGACAGAGAGAAAAGAAAGCTCCTTTGGCAGCTGGACCAGAGGGCGAGGCAGTTGGGACACGATCTGTGCATGAGCGGCGTGCGCGTTAATGACACTTATTATACGCGGTGGTCATTGGACAGATTGATTGGTTATTTCGTGTTTCCGGGAGCTTCCTGGCTTAGGTGGCTGAGGGCATCAACTGGTGTCTCTGCAGTGCCTCTCAATGAGAGGTCCTAGGGTTTGAGTCCCGCCGGTGTTTGGCTACACTAGCTAGTTAGCTAGCCCGAATTCAGCCTGGGAGGACCTAGGGTTAAACCCTCGATTGTGACAGGGTTTGCGACATTACCTACATAGCTACGTCGAATTTAGCTGCTGTCTGGAGGAGAATTCTCGCGGCCGGCTGTTCTGATCGGTAGTTTTCCTTTGTTTCCCCCAATCAACACCCTGGCAAATGCCGGCGCAGTTCCGTAACAAACTGGTCACGCACTGCGCGCGATCTTTCCTTCCCTTTTCAGGTCCCATCCTCACTCTTTGCCTATATTTATTACTAACGTGCACTAAACTTGCACACATGCCGGGCGACCAGCCGGGATCTTAGAGCTTGTCCCGGCTGCGACGGTGTCTGTGTGGTGAGAGATATCTGGTTCAGGAAAAAACCGTTAGCCGACATGTAGGTCGGCGCCGGTTCTTGTCGTCCAGCTGCGAAATATCACCGCCACTTTATGATTCAAACATGTCCCGTGGTGATATTTTATCACGAGTTGTGACGGTGTTCCCCCCCACTGGGTGGTGAAATTCCAATCGTTGAGATGATGGTATTGTCGTGGATCAATTTCTTTATGTTTTCAGGTAGATCTTCTAACTAAAGATTTTAATGCAAGATCTTCGGGATGGAATATGAAGTCGATATTAGAATAGGAATGATTCTCAGCTGGTCTGCATTATCTTTTTGTTTGTTATATTCTGATATTTTAACCTGAAGATTTGAAGTGTTAGGCATTTATATATCAATAACATAGACTTGCCTGATTTCTTTATAGATCGTAACAATATACTAAGGTCCATTACGGATGTCTGTTTTGTCTGTGATAATCGTTCTTACCCAGTACAAACATAAGAACGATTCCCCAAAATATACATGTGTGTTATACATTTGGTGCGGTACGCCGGATATTAATTGAATATCTGGACCAAATCGCGGTGGGTTATATTCTCTAGTGCACCATGCCTGTTCCTAAACTCTTACCCATCTAGACGTGTGCAGTTTAATATAATGATTAATGTAATGGAATGTTTTGATTCAATTTGTTCACAACCTTACCAGCAGAAGTCATCGTGTACACTGGGATCTTTAAGTATATATTTCGTAGTTCTACCCTGAGATCAACCAGTTAGTTCGCCCCTTCTGTGTCAACATTTACCACTTGGATGATGGTCGTCATTCATATAGGACATGAAAAACATTAATGAGTACCGCACAACTTACTTCTTTCTGGGATTATTGCAAAGACGTCATACGTTCACTGTGCATTATGAATAAGTCAATCACTAGGCATTCATTCCTAAATCCGTCAACAATCAGTAAATTGTTACACTAATAAAGAATGCTTAAATAAGACAACATGAACGGCTGGCTCCTTCAACCTGCATTGCTCTGTGCGCCGACTCGGAAAGCCTGCTACGCCGAGTAGGTAGCCTGCTCCTCCATAAAGGTTGCTTGGGCTCGGCAACTCCTAGCTGTGCACTTCTAACAATCTGCATTCAGTGGTGTGCAACAAGGCATTCTTCACGATTCGACGTTTCGTTCCAACAATCTCTATCACGAAACAGTAACCTTGAACCTTGTTGGGCCTATGTTATCATGCATTCCCTTTTACAGTATCATGGATCAGGTATACTGCAACTGTTATTTTTTTCGTGCAGCGAAGGCTTCCGCCTAGGTGACCTGGGGGAGCAACACTTTCAAATCACGCTTCTTCTTCTTCTGAACTTGATTGGTAAAAATTGAAAAATTATTTCTAAATTCCTAAGAGGCAACGATCCTGCCCCGTCCTTTGGAGGTATGTGGGCCAGGAAACGTAAAATTAGCACCAGTTTTATAACTGCAGAATCACCCACGCAAGGATTCAACTAGTCCCGGCATAATGAGGCTGTGTTGAAGAAGCGAAGAGGGTCATCCTTTCATTCGCCAATTCTTTATGCCCTTTCCTCCACTAAAGAAAATTATAAATTCGCATCATGATCTCTAGAAATAAAATTCGACTTACGCGGTATTGCTGCCTGATTTTGAAAAGCGGAAGGAACCGAAAAGTTCTTCCACGCTACACTCAACCTACAACAGAGTACTTCGCTAGCGCATTTTCTAGGTACATTATACTGTTAATTATTGAGTACGGAGAACCGACGGTGGCGTAACGGAAAACTATATCACAGGATGGGAAATGTCAGAGTAGTTGATAATGTGTATGTTAACCATGGTAGCTTATGGAACCACATTTAAGAGCTCATTACTGATGTATCGTGGATACGAACACTGGAGGAACGCAAAAGTCTTTTGTTTGCTTTGTTTACGCATCTGGCATAATACTTCACTTTATATTTTGTAATAATTTCTTGTACATATTTTCAGTTCTAATGATGATCGATACGCGATCGAAAAGATCTTTAGTATAAAAAATACTGATTTCTAGACAATACCTCTCTTTTCACAATTTATCAATCTTGGAACACGTCAGAAACCCATTGTAGAGCAGCAGTCACGTCAAAACAAGTCATAGGACATTGTCTTCTATTTTTTTCGGCCAGGGACTTAACGCCGTTTGAATCTGGAGTTCCCGGACGGTCAATCAGCCAGGTACTTGCGGGGTCTACTAATATAACAGTAACAATAAAACTAACTAACAATAAAATGGAAAAATATGAAATTCCATGACTTTTCATCATTTTGAGGTAGCCAGCTCCCTTAAACATTGGTCACCCACTAGCGTATCCAGGGGGAGAGGGTTTTTTACGGCTGGGACTATCTCTCGTATCCCATCTTCCACAACTTGTGGTCAATCCAATCCTTGTCCTGCAAACCTCTAGCCGTCATAGCTTCGTTTACTCCATTTTGGCATGATCTTGATGGTCTTCCCCGTTTTTTCTGCGTTCTGGAGGGTTCCATTCCCAAACTTGTTTGGGCCATCTGGTATCTTCAGTCCATTGACGGTGACCATACCACATTAATCGTTTCGTTTCAATTGTGTCTATGATGTTATTTTCAATCTCCATTATTTTACGGGTGGTATCGTTTCGAACATGTTCCATCCTGGAAATTCCACAACTCCTTCTCCAAAGTCCATTTCAAGAGCTAACAGTCTTTCTATGTCTCTTTTAATTTGCTCCCACGTTTTAGATCCGTATCTGCGTATACTCTCAACAAGGCTTTTATACATTGTTCTTTTGGTTTTCTGTGTAAATTGTGTCGTTTCGTAGCACACAATTTAAACGTCGTTCATTTACTATGCCAGTTTTGGCTTTACCGGTGTCAGGTAGTGTCCCAAGCGATCGGCTGGATCCGCCGCTGTGCCCCTTTGGCCCCGGGCGTTGGCGCCATGGCGACCCGGAGCCGCCCATCCCGCAGCGGAGGCGCGGGCGCGGGCGCGTTGGCGGGCGACGCGGTCGATGGGCGCGCGGAGCTCAGCTGCGACTTGTTGAGCGACGCGCGGCGCGCCAAGGGCCTCGCAGCGGCGGAGGGCGGCGAGGGGGAGCACTGTCAGAGTGGAAGAGTCAGAGCGAAGAGTAGAGAGATCGACAGAGAGAGGGGGAGGGGGAGGGAGAGGGAGAGAGACTTACGTCAAAGTAGGAGAGTCAGAACAAAATAGAGCAAAGAGAAAGAAGGAGGGAGAGGGAGACCTGTGTCAAAGAAGGAGAGTCGCGAACACAGAGAGAGGGAAGGAGAGGAAAGTAGGAGAGACAGAAAAAAGAAGGCAGAGAGAGAGAAAGAGAAGGAGAGAGACCCATTACAAAGTAGGTGAGTAAGAGTGATCCAACAGATAGATTGACAGAGAGAAAGGAAAGGAGAGAGGCGCATGTTGAAGTAGAAAAGATAACCACAGAGAGGAAGGGAAGACCTATGTTACAGGAGAATCAGAGTGAGGGCAGAGAGAGAGAGAGAGAGAGAGAGAGAGAGACAGAGAAAGTGAGAGAGCGACAGAGAAAGAGGGGAGAGAGTGATATATGTCAGAGTAGGAATGCCACAGTGAGAAGAGGGAGATTGGCAGAGATAAATAGATAGAGATAGAGGGAGAGGGAGGGAGATACCTACGAGTATGAGAAAATAGGTGAGTCAGAGCGAGGACAGACAGCGATAGAGAGAGGGAGGGAATCTGTGACAAAGTTGGAGAGTCTGAGCTGACAGAGAGAAAGTGACAGAAAGAGGGGGAAGAGAGGAAGAAACCTATGTCAAAGACAGAACGAGGACATATAGAGCAAGAGAGAGAGAGAGAGAGAGAGAGAGAGAGAGAGAGAGAGAGAGATGGAGAAGGACATTCTCCTTCTGTCCAAGTAGGAGAGCCAGAGCGGGGACAGAGAGAGAGAAAGAGAGAGAGAACGGGTAAAGATACAGTGTCAGAATGATGTAACAGGAGAGAGTTCAGGACCAGATAGCGTTTGTGAGAGGGCCATGTCAGAGACGGCTAGCGACAATGGTCAATAAAATAGGAGAATTAGAGAGCTAGGACCTAGAGGGAGTTTCAGGAAGTGAGGACATTGAACTAGCATATAAGTAAATCGGAAAGAGAGAGGACAGACGTAGAACAGAAAGCAACCACAGAGGAAAGACAAAGAAAGAGCTACAGCAGAGGTAGCGCGGTGGCAGAGGGCGACAAGAGATATTGAGGGGGACGCAGTTCTAGGACTGAGCGAGGCCAGAGAGAGAGAGAGAGAGAGAGAGAGAGAGAGAGAAAGAGAGAGGAAAGTTAGCAAAAGTACTAGCGACAGCGAGCGAACTCAAAGAGAAGGGACAGAGGGCAGAGGAGATGGAGAGCGAAGGCAGAAAGCGATGTGAGGTAGAGAACGTTGACATAAGGCGTTGGATAGAGAGCGGGTGCAACGAAGGGTTAACAGAGAGAAGGACTGAGAATAGAATAAAGGAAAGGCAGAACGATGAAAGAGAGCGAGAAAGAGAGAGCGAGCGACAGCCGGCGCGGCAACGAGCAAGGGAGGAAGATAAAAGACGGACGGACGGAGCGAGCTTGTATCGATTTCCTGGCGCGGCGTAGCGGTTGAGATGGCCCGCCGATTAGAGCCTCAAGGGGTCAAAGTGGCACTTTGCACCAGAGTGCCTCAGTTCATTACGGTGATAGACCGAATCGATGAATTAACAAAACACCGGCACCTCCTAAAGTTGTTGATTGCCTCAGTTTGTAGTCGTGGTTTCCGGTCCCAATTTGAAAACGGATGTTTATGCTGACGCACAAGTACATTCATTTTTCATAGTCGTTATATCTACGTAAATAAAAATACAGTATCTGCCTGCGATTTCAAAGCAACTATCTTTTAATATTTTTCAATGCTTATGTAGGTGGAATACAAACCACCTCAATTGCTTTTTCGGTTTTTGTCTATTTGTACAGGGTAATAACTGGAAGAGGTGCTTACAGCTGACCATAGCAATTATGGTGACAGAAACGATAATAGTAGAAAATATGGCATTGTGTAGCCGAGTTGATAGATTGAATGATTTAAGATTCCGGGCGCGTCAACTGCTGAGGAAATTAATCGTGTTAGTGAAGTGCATGTGCTTTTTTTGGGAAGTGACAGTGATCTTCCCTTGCTAGCTGGTGGGATCCGAGGCCAACCTACCGTGAACGTCGGTGTAAGTAAGGAATGAGGCTGGGACAATATATGAAGAGGAAGGAAAGATCGCGCGCAGTTCGTTACCCGTTTGTTACGGTAATCCTGCATTTGCCTGATGTAGATCGGAGCACCCGCGGAAAACTACCGATCGGAGCAGCCGGCTGCTAGAATTCTCCTCCAGACAGCGACTGAATTCAACCTAGCTGACTAGCTAGTGCCGAAAATCCTGTCATCGTCGGAACTCGAAGCGTGGACCTCACGGTCAGAGGCACTGCAGTGGCATCAGTTGATGACCGGAACCATCTAAGTCGCTGTTGAGTCTGCGACCTACCTCAGGACGAAATCCAAATTTGGCATCTGTGCTTAGGAGGCGGCGTCTTTCTGACAATGGAGTACAGTAGTGCTCAAACCGCATTACTAAAGAAAATGAGCGTTCTGTATTTACGTAATTCATTCTGGTCTCAAAAATTTTAAACAAATATTAGTAGAAATTTGTAATCATATTTTTAATGTGGATTATATGATGTTTTTGATTCCATTACCTTCATAAATCGCTCGAGTTTTGCAAATAAAGTGGTGTATTTTCAGGATTATAATGCAGACTACAGATGATGCGGGTTTTTTGAGCACTACTCTAGAGTTGAGCATTCTCAGGTCGGAAAAGCGGAGTGGCGCGGGGTGAAGTTGGGATGAAAGCAATGGTGTCAGGGGGTCTTTCCCACTGGATAGCGCAACGAAAACCACCAAAGCGTCGAAAAAAACGCCAAGATCAAAAAATATTATTTCATGTTTAAAAGATATAAGGAGGCATGGAAATTAAAGAAATATTACAATATTAATTATTGTATATGACAATTTTTATATTTTACAGATTTTAATGACTGAAAAAGAGATACTGATACCTCTTTGGAAAACCTGTCCTTCAACCGAAATCGTTTTTCCATTACGTGTTTATGGCTAAAATTAGTTCATTTTGATTAAATGTATTGCCCTCTTCTACCAATCTTTGGTTGTGACACATTTTAAACAATAGAGCTCACTCAAAATTTTGTACACAAAGTGCGCTTAATTATAGTGTACACAGTGCGCTTAGTTATAGTTGAATACCTACAACAATCAGGTAGGGAATTTTTTTTATTTATTATGCTACAAACTTCAGAAGCAGGATGGGAGATGGATGACTTCAGAAGCAGGATGGGAAAACTTCAGAGGTAGGATGAGAGAGGCTGGGCCACCGCTGGTCGGCCAAGGCCAGTATCGGGCTGTCGAGCCAAAGGTCAGGAGAGCCCTCCCACCTGCATCACTTTTCTTTCTTGCATATCCCATTCTGTAGGGCCATTTTATATTCGTCTTTATATCTACGATATAAAGTCCTTTGGCTCGACAGCCCTTATACTGGCCTTGGCCAAACAACGGTGGCCCAGCCTCTCGGCCATGGGATAAGGTTATTACGAAGACATCCCGGTAGGAGGATCAGAGCTAGGTAAACACCAGGTTAAAAGCTAACAAATATTAGTTAAAAAATAAGACAGTTTCTCGAGTAGGTCGGCGCCAGTTTTCATCAGTGGGAGGGAGAGAAATAGAGAAAAATGCACTTATAAAATAGCCCGAGTTAAAATCTTGAAATTTTCTATAATAACAAATCATAAAACTTTGGACACTTTCCTACTAATACGGTTCCATTTGGTAAAAAAAATATTTTTCATTATTAATAATTTCAAATCTGCTCATAAATTGATTGGAAATTAAGCGGCCTCCGTCCATGTCAGAGGCTTCAGTGGCAGACTCCGATACAAAGGAATCATGGAAAGAACAAATATAGTTTCAATTCAATGATGCCTTATTTTCCGTGGTCGGGCTCTGTCCATGAGGCCTGCTCTTCCCCTGACCTCGCAAATCCCGCTACACTTCAACCACTGTGCGGCAGAGAAATGAGGTATCACTGCGATTATGACAATCAATAGCTTCTCATACTTGATGTTGTGATTATTTGTTTCATTTTTAGTGCGACACAGCTTAGGAAGGTGACATTATGGGAGGAGGGAGAAAGCAACTTCAGAATTTACGCGTGTAGCTTTGGAACAGCACATTTTTTCTGCTTTCTATTTACTACACATATTTGACAGCATACTTTTTGCTGTTTCGACATTTGGTTATTTGCTAACCATACTTCATCACTGAAAAAAATGATAATTTTCGCTGATGCTTTTATAAAAATATAGATATTTTTACATCAATTTATAGAAGCAAATGCTTTTTAACATGAATGTTTTGTGATCGACGATTTTACGTTGTTGATGTTTTATTTTGGAATGAAAAAGGTATTATGCTAAAAACTGTAATAACTTTCGCAAACAAATGAATATACTCTCTGTCACCAAAGCGAACAATAGAGAGAGAAAATAGTCGAGTTTAGTTCCATCAATAAAATCTATTAATTTTGTAAAATTAAGTCTAAATAATCAGTTTTGGTAATTGTTCCAATATTTTGAGATATTTTCTGAAATAATAATTATAAATTAATAAAAAAGGTATTGTGAGATAAAATTTGTTCTCGCGCCAACTCGCGATACAGAATAAATTAGTTTTCAATACATAGCTGTTCAAAAACATCATTACTTTTGGGATGGTCTTTAATGGTAATCGATGTGGTGTAACGGTCAGCGTACTGGACTGTTGTACCCAAGTTGGCGGGTTCAAACCCGATCGAAGCCGTGATTATTTAAGGGCGAAAAAACCTTCGTAGCGCCTTCCTCGAGAGGGAAGTAAGCTGGGCT